GCTTGGGGCCAGCCCAGGATGTTTTTCTGTAAGACTCTCTCAATCCCGTGTAGAGAACTTACTGGAGGAGGCAGCTGGATCAGCCTGGAGAAGAGAAAGCTCTGGGGAAGTTTCATTGTTGCCTTCCATTATTTGAAAGGAGCATCTAAACAGGGGGGAAAGGGCTGTTTATGAGGGTGGATGGTGATAGGACAAGGGGGAATGGTTTTAAAGTGAGACAGGGGAGGTTTAGGTTGGATATGAGGAGCAAGTTTCTCACCCAGAGGGTGGTGAGGCACTGGCACAGGTTGCCCAAGGAGGCTGTGGATGCCCCACCTGTGGAGGTTTTCAAGGCCAGGCTGGACGTGGCTCTGGGCAGCCTGGGCTGCTGGTTGGTGACCCTGCTACTCAAGCCATTATTTTCCCAGCACTACGAATTTATCCAAGACACTCCCCATTTCTGCTTCTAATCTGATTGCAGTTTCTCATGCCAAGTCTTTCTTTTCAACTCTGTGGGATTCTGTGCACGCTCAAATTCTTGGGTACAATCTACACCTGGGCACTTCTCTTTCAACCTGGCTTGTCTCTGGTTCCTCACAGCTTCCTCTGCATAAAAGACAGAGTTGCTATGAGACTCAACAAATCAACCACATTTTACTAACAGTTCTGGGTTGTTTGTTCCTACACAAACAAAACTGCATTGAGGTTTCTCTCTTATGTGGGATGAAGTCATCAAGTCTCGGAGTGGCTTAACCTGGCTCCATGCATCTCACAGCCTTAAGTGGCACTGCTCACCTGTTAGGAATGAGTTTTCTCAAGGAAAGGCAGACTTTGGGTGGCTTCATCCAGCTCAGTGCAGAGTACTCTCAAAGCACTGAGTGCTCACGGTGTCTGCAAGTCCCAGGGGAGTCCCAAGAGTGAGGTCTAGCTCCCTCCAGCAGCAAGAGTTACGTTCCTAACACAAAGCGTGAGCAAAGGGCTTGCCAGAAGAGCATTAGGACAACAGCTGATCGATTTCTGATGAAGGGCTTGCCTTCCATAACCATTAGATTTTTATAAGCCTTGCTGCTGTTTTCCTGCCTTAGTGGCCAAACAGTTGGTAGTGAAAACCTGCTGCTGTTGGAAACAATGCATGTGGTCTGGTAAGAAGGGGAAAACATGTAAGTTCAATTTATGGCTGTCCAAAGAAGTGCAAGATGAGCAGGAGTGCTGTGCTGGCCTTGATCCTGCCCGTTGCTGCTTCAGGGTATCCAGGCACCAGGAGCTTGCAGGAAGTTGGACTGCTGCAGTGCACGTTCAGGTTTTCCTTCCTGCTCTGTCTGGCAGGTGCAGACAAACACAGGGGAAACCTGGAGTTCTTGCTATTCCAGGTCTTACCAATATCCACCTTCTGACACAAAGAGCAATTTTTTGTCCCTAAATCTTTGCTTTGTAAAACGAGCACGTGATGAAACTGCAACTTGCTCTTGCTGACTGCTTTGCCCAGAAAACCCAAATCTATGTACCACTGAGCAACTTCAGGAGCTCTGCCTTTCTCTGTCCCTGATTACAGTTAGCCATCAAGACTTTTCAGCAGAGCTCCCCTTTCCTGTGAAAGTCTCTGATGCTATATGGCTCATCTTTTCCTGTGTCAGCAGAGGATGATGAAGGCTGTTCCTTTGCACGCTTGTTCCTTTCAGCACAGCACAGGATAACATCTGAGAAAACCCAGGTACTGTGAGCCAGCCTGCATGCTTAGCTTGACATGTCAAAGAAAAAGTCTGAATACTTCTGGGACAATGTGTGCCCTAATGACTACAAACCAATGTGGACTAAGAAAGTACAAAAGCTTTGTGTCTGCAGAGAGGAACCAGACTGTGGATGGTGTAAGCAGGTGTAAGAGAAACAGCCATCTACTCTAAATTCTTCTGGGCAGGATTGTTGAACAGGCTGCCCAGTGAAATAAATGGTGTAGTCCCCATCTCTGGAGGTAGTTAAGGGCCATGAGGGACACGGACTAGTACTGCAATTAGTAGTGCTAGATGGATGGGTGGACTTGATGACCTTCTGTTGCTTTTCCAACATAAGACATTCTATTATTTTTATGGAAAAAGTGATGCAATACCAGCAGTAACATAGGCAGAGAAAGAAGCTGACCAGTTCTTCCATGGCTGTGTCCCGAGTCACGCTGTGAAGGATGCCATTGCCACCTTGGCTGTTCTTGCAGGGACTGGATTGTGTCCACAGCAGCGTGTAGATGGGAGGTCTCATAGTCAGAAACACAGAAAGCAAAGCACTGTGTGCTGCAGAAAGATTGTCCAGTTCCTCTGTCTGTCTTTGTCTTGCAAGCATTAGCAGGACAAAATTCAGCAATAGCCATGGCCAGTTTGGACACCTAACACATACATGAAATTGTGTCACTTGTTCAGCCACCAGGCTCACATTCTTCAACAAGTTGCAGTTCAAAGATGAAAGTGTGCAGGGTCTCAGTTGTACCACAGTAAAGAAAAATACTGAAGAAAGGCTTGATGATAAGGAAAGACTTCTGTGGGTTATTTTCGTAGTCATGAGGGTCAGCATGAACACTGAATCAGAAGCTAAGAGGCACGCATTGCTTAAAGGCATAAATATGGAAAGGTGCTCTTAAAGGAGGAAAGCTCTTTTTGTTGGGACTCACTCTGGCATCGCAGCATCCGCCCTTCTGTAGTGATTGAGATGTGTTGTTCCTGTGATGACTGGGAGTGAAACACAAAGTGAAAGCAAGGATGATGAAACAGACTGACACAGCTCCAAAAAGGAGAAAAATACCCATCTCCGGGTCTCCAGAGGAATGAATAGCAAATCTTCCTTCTCCCTCAGTTGCTATCTTCTGAATCAAATTAAGACTTTATTCTTCACTGAAAATCTTAGGACCCTTCAAGCTAAAGACCTCTTTGTCGTCTTCTCAAGCAAAAGGCTCTGAAAATCTTCAGTCATCACCAGGAACAGGAGCATGAAAAAGCACTGCTTTGTACTGAAGCAATCATAGAATAATGAAGGTTGGCAAAGACTGCTATGATCATCTAGTGCAACTGTCATCCATGCTGACAAACCACGTCCCTAAGTGCCACATCCACCCTCTTGCTGAAAGCTTCCAGGGATGGGGACTCCACCACTTCCCTGAGCAGCCTGTTCCAACACATCACCACTCCTGCTGAGAAGAAATTTTCCCTACTATCCAAGCTGAGCCACTACAAACAGTTCATGGCTATGCCTGAGGAAAAAGGAAGAGCACCTGAAGTGCTGAGTTTGGGTTACGTTTTAGACGTCCACTGTTTGCTTCAGCCTTGGCACCCTTGGCTTGCTTGAAATCCCTATCTTCTGGAAGCTGACATCTGCAAGGAGCTGGTCAGCAGTGAGGAAATCCCCCACGTGTTCAGGAGACTCCTCCATGCTGGGGAAGTGAGCTGGGATCTTTCAGATGGTTTGTGGTTGGGTTGCTGGAGGAGTTTTGGTTGAGGTGATTGTTGGGCTGCTGCTGTAGTGTGGGACCCAGTAGGCACAATAGTAGGTAGCAGCGTCATCTAGAAGTACATTTCTTATGGTAAGAATGCAAAGTTTCTGTCTAGAAATAGTTTGAATCATGTATCTGTGCCTTTGGAAGCTCTCATCTACTACAGTTGCTCCTGATGTGACGTAGATGATCCTCACCAGAGTTTTATTCTCCTTCTGTTGATACCAGTGTATGGCAGTCTTATCAAAATGTCCAGAGAACTCTTTAAAATGGCATTGCAGGCGTATGCTTCCTCGTGACTTGGTGATGGATACAGGGCTCTGTATGGGAATTTCCCACACCAGCCCACCTAGGAAAAAAATGGAAAAAAAAAAAAAGAGAGGAGAAAATATGTTGTTTAGTGTTGGTTGTGGATTTGGGATAATACCTTTTAGCTCATCCACGGGTTCCTGTGAGGAAAAGTAAGCTTAAGGAACAGTACGAACAAGACCAAGTGGTTGTGGCCACAAGGGCTGCCAGCAGCAGCATGGTTGCTTGTCCTTCTCGGCTGCTGTTGAGACTGAGAACAGGAAACTGTCGCCAGTACAAGGAGCTGTGTTGCATGGGAGGAGGAGCTGACTCCTTTGGGGATGTGTTAATCCTTAAGGCGGTGAAGAGTTCTCCCTTAGAAAGGGAGGATGTGTGTTTGAAGACTGGAGCGCTGATAGTGGCATCCGCTTCAAAAGGAGCGGGCACCAACCACATGCATCAGGATGGGTTTGTGATTGACATGCTGGAAAGGAGCTCCATGGAGAAGGAGCCCGGGGTCCTGCAGGACAGCAGGTTGACCATGAGCCCGCATGGCCAAGTGTGGCCCTGTGGCCCAGAAGGCCAATGGGATCCTGGGGTTGGTTGAAAAGAGCGTGGCCAGCAGGTTGAGGGAGGTGATCCTCGCTTTCTGCTCTGCCCTGGTGACCCCACGTCTGGAGTGCTGCCTTCTCTTCTGGGCTTCTCGGTTCCAGAAAAGCAGGGAACTTCTAGAGAATCCAGCAGTGGGCCACAGAGGTGATAGGGGAATGGAGCATCTGCCTTATGAGGAAAGGCTGAAAGACCTGCGGCTGTTCTGCCTGGAGGAGACTGAGAAGGGATCTTATCAACGCTTGTAAAGATCTGAAGGGCAGGAGTCCAATGGATGGGCCAGGCTCCTTTGGGTGTTGCCCAGCAACAGGACAAGGGGAAAGATGTGTTACAAACTGAAACACAGGTGGTTCCATCTCAACTTGAGAGAAACCTTCTTTTCTTTGAGGATGACAAAGCAAAGGAACTGGCTGCGCAGAGAGGGTAAGGAATGCCCTCTAGTGACATGCAGGACCTTCTTGGACACTTTCCTGTGTCACCTGCTCTAAGGAATCTGCTTTAGCAGGGAGGATGGACTGGATGATCTGCAGAGGTCCGTTCCAGCCCTTCATTGTTTGTGATTCTCTGCATCTGTGCAGTGTTTGCTCTGGGTAGCAGCTGATAGCAGATGGAGTGAGAAGGCTGGGGAATGAGGCAGTAACAGTCCTGTGGTTCAGACTGAAGCTGAAGTTGAGTGGTTGAAGGAGTTTTGTGGCTTGATGGTCTCTGAGCATCTCTCACGGTGTGGGTCCCAGTAGGCACAGTAGTAAGTAGCAGCATCATCTGGACTTACATCATTTATCGTAAGAATGGACAGTTTCTGACTAGAAACTTCATCAGCCATGTACTTGTTCCCTTGAAAGCCACTTTCAACTGTAGTTTTCCCTTCTGCAAAGAAGAGTAGCCTCTCTGGAGGTTTATTCTCCTTTTGTTGATACCAGTGTATGACGGTGCTATCAAAATGTTCAAACAAGTCTCCAAAACGACACTGCAGACGTATACTGCCTTGTGACTTGGTGATGGACAGAGGACTCTGAATGGGAACTTTCCATGCAAATTCATCTAGGAAATGAGAAAAAAAAAAAGAGAAGAAATTGTTATTCAGTGACAATCAGGGTTTGGAAAGATATCTTTGAGCTAAACTTAAGAAAGCAGAAAGTACAAGACCAAGTGGTTGTGGTCGTAAGAGCTGCCAGCAGCAGCATGTTTGTTGCTTCCACTTTGTTGCCGTGGAGGAGCTGAATGAATGGGGCCTTGGCTGGAGACAGCACCAAGTGGGAGTCTGTGGTGATGGAAGTTTGGGGGGAGGAGGGGAAGAGAAAAAGAAAAGGAAACAAGAAAAAGAAAGGTAAAAGTGATTGGTAATGATGTTATTCATTGGCAACATTCCACTTGGGAAGATATCTGTTATGCCACCCGTGGGTGCCTGTGAGGAAAAAGAAGCTGAAGCACTTACAGGACCAGGCAGTTGCAACCATCAGAGCTGCCAGCAGCAGCATGTCTGCTGCTCCTGCTCTGCTGCTGTTGAGACTGAGAGATGTGGGGCCCCGGATGGGGACACACTGAGTGGGAGGAGAAGTCACCAGCAGTGTTTTTTCTGTGCATAACAACACGGGGCTGTGCTTGTCAAGAAGCTGCAGCAACCTGGGAAAGGACTGCAAGGACTGCAAGGCACGAGGGCACATTCAGCACGAGCAGCATTCAGAGCCTTGCAAAACCACCACTATGGCAATCTCTGTGTGGCTGAAGGTCCAGTCTCTCCAGTGCACTACCTCACAGGATGTTGTGCCCGAGGCTTCTAATCAAATGCAGTACTCAGTTCTGGAGCTAACTGACAGACAAATGCCAGCTTTGCTCTGCATGGTGAAAAGAGGCTTTGACCATAGACTAATTCTTAGAACTCCGTGCACTGTGCTCAAAGGGCTCCTTGGAGAGCAGGCCCACGGAAGAATACTGAAGTTCTGTCTGGATGCAACAGGTGAGAACTTGACACAGTGAAATTGAGCCGTCGGTGCTGCAGAAGGAGTTGGTAGTACCTGAAATGACAGCAGAGAAAGAATGAAGGAGGATCTAGAAGAACATGTAGCTTTCTCTCACTGCTTTGCTTGTGTGCCTCCGTTCAAGTGAGAGCCTGCAGGAGATAGAGATATGTTTCTCTGCTTGCTGTACAGCTTTCAATGAAGAAGGGAAATTTCCAACTACTCGTTGTCCACAGGCACACAGTCTGTGCCCACTGTCAGCTGAGTGCTCTGAGTACAGTCAGTTCTTTGCCATATCTGCAAAGTCACCGGTTTTTATCCTGAAGTGACTAAGACTGTTCAGTTTCTGCATGTTACAGCTATGTGTAAGTACAGAAGAAGTATTCTGAGAGTTAGTTAAGATAATTCATTTAGCATTTGCCATGTTAATCTTCTGCTTTTGCTCTCCTGCTGCAGAAAATCACCAGAGAAAGGTGGCCTAAAAAGAATCTGCATCTGGCAGGAGTTGACAGCTTGAGGTTCAAAGCGCCAGATGCCTTTTTGTACGGCTTATCTTTGCCCATCTAATGCTGTGTAGCCTTGGTAATACCAATATGCACAGAGATAAGTACTAGTATCCCTCCGGGATGCTTTCTTTATTGTCAGAACACTGTTGGAAGTACTTTTCTGCACTCGAAATTTAAATCCGTCGTTGTTGTCATCGAAGATAGGTGAGGATCCAGACATGTACAGTATCCTCTTGGGTGGCTCCCCGGGAAGCTGCCTGTACCAGTGCACAGTGGTTTCACTGCTCAGCTGGCACCTCATGGTGACTGGGCTGCCCTCCACCAGCCTGCGCTCTGCTGGGCTTTGCACCGGTGCAGCCTGTGTATCCCCACCTGCAAGGGAACAGGGAGAAACTGCACGTAGGCCAGGAGCCACCAAGCTCTGCAGCAGGGACTGTGTTCTCCATGCACGGGAGGGAGAGGAGAAGGGAAACGGCACTTACGGGACCAAAGTGAAGTCACAACGAGTAAGGGAAGCAACAGCATGCTGCCTGCAAGAGTGAGATGTAGAGCTGAGGCAGGGGAGATGTGTTATAAAGCCATCCAGGTGGAGAAGGCATCAGCAGCTGGGAGGAGGAAGTGACGCGTGGCTCATCTGATGGAAGGTCTTCAGCTCATTGCCAGGGAGTGCGTGTTTGTGTGCGGGAAACTCACTGGCAAATGAAAGCCCATCAGTAACACTGTAGACAGGACCTAAAATATTCAATCCAGCAACTGTTTGGTGTGCACATATCTATCTGTCTGTCTGTCTGTCTATCTGTCTGCTACATTCCATTTAATCTTACCCATCAATCTTGCTAAGCACACATGCAGAAGGCAGGGTTGTTCAGCTGTGCCCTTCCCCAGGTCACTCTGCTCTCCTCAGACCCCCAGGGCTGTCCAAGAAGCATCTTTCATCAGCCCTTCCTAGAAAGTGCTGCCTGCTTTTGTAGCACAAATGGACTAGGTCATGGTGAACTCCTGACTTCCTCATGCTTGGGACAACTCCATGGGCCTCCTCAGCCACCTGCACCAGCCCTGCATGTTGTTTGTCTCCACAAACTGCACCCCTACCACCGCATGTTCTTTCCAGAGTTGTTTCCCCTTCTCTGACTAAGAGAGTGAATCTGCTCTGGATCTTCTCCAGGTCTCTGTCACTGCAGCATGCACTGCAGACCTCACGTCAGGACATGTTCTGTAAACTCCTACTGCCACTTTCCTTGTGACAGATCCATCATTTTGCATCCAGTCCTTCAGTGCTGCCATTCCAGCATTGAAAAAGTGAACATTAGGGGCAGGATGGCTACTGGTAGGGAGAGGAAATGATGGACTCATCTTGGAATTCCTTCCTCTGCTTAAGCCTGTGGGGACGCCTTGAAGGCTGAGAGATGGGGGCAGGAAGGCAGCTGTGTTTCTCGGCACTTGTATCAAAGTGTGCTGCTCAGGTTGCAGCCAGCTTTCTGTAAGGGCTGCCTGCAGGCTGCTCCTGCTGTGAGAATCCCAGTAGGCACAGTAGTAGGTACCTTCATCATCATCACGTATGTTTAGAACTCTCAGATAGCAAATGTTATTCCCTTTTTTGGAAGAGAAGTACTTGCCCTTATAGGATTCTGAATCATATGAAACTTGTGATTTTGCTGTCACAAAAAGGAGCCATTCAGGAGCTCTGGCAGGCAGTTGTCGGTACCAGTGGATGTAGGCAGCCTGGAAGTCATCTATGCCCTCAGCTTGGCACTCAATATTCACAGTTGTGGATCTCGTTCTGGTAACAGATGGTGGACTCTGTTGCAGCAGCACTTGTGCATGTCCGTGTATCAGAAGGAGAGAAAAGGCAGCAAGCACTGCCAGCCTGCTGCCTGCAGGTGTACGCAGGACAGCCTGCTGCTGCTGCTGGAAGTGGAGCTGCCACGGGGAGGGGAATGGATGCAACAAGGCTTCAGCCAGGGCCAGAAGTGGCAGCAGCAGCAGCAGCAGCATTCTTCTCGTGGTGCCTGCGTGCTGTGCCCCAGAGAAAGCCCCCAGCTCTGTGGCAGGGACAGGGGCTGTGCCTGAGGGCAGGATGTGACTCACTGGCGGCCACCCAGTGGTGGCCCTGCGCAGCCAGCAGGTGATGCTGTGAGAAAGCAGCACAACAGAGGGACCTTCTAGGCTGGGCCAAACGGTACAAGAAACGCAACCGTTTTAGAGCCCACATAGGATGTGCCTAGAATAAAGATGCAGAGGGAAGGTCCCACAAGTTGTCTGCATTGTAACGTCTCGTTCAGGAAGCAGAGCGCGTCTTTGTGCAGGTTCCCCATGGCTCTCTGCTGCTGTGCATCCCATCTGGCACAGTAGTAGGTAGCAGCGTCTTGTGCAGTGAGTCTGCCCACTGTCAGGGTGCACTGCGACTTGGCGAGGTCCTTCTCGATGCTGAATTTCCCCTCATCGGACTCATTCTCAAGGAGCAGCCTGGTTGCCATGTAGGCAATGTGCCTGGGAGCTGCCCCAGGCCTCCTGCGGTACCAGTGAATGAAGACTCTGTCAAAGCTGGAGATGGAGATGCGGCAGGTGATGAGCATCGTTTTGCTTTCAGGCTTGGTGATGGACACTGGACTTTGCTGCAGGGCTTGTGCAGAGCCACCTGAGGGGAAGCAAGAGAGAAACCGGGCAGCCAAAGCTGGAGCAGCAGAGGTTCCCGCTGTTCACGCAGGCAGCGGGGTGAGCAGGGCACGTACAGGAGAAACCAGCTGCCAGCATGAGAGCTGTCAGCAGCCACATGGTTGCTGCTCTCCTTCGGGCTTCCCTGCGTGGAGAGCCGCAGTCTCACACTCGAGAGGTCCCACAGCAGATCCGAGCAGTGGAAACCACTTCTTTCTGTGATTCCCAATGAGGCTGCTCTACCTGCCGATAGGATCAGGAAGCATTTGCAGCCATTTCCACAACAGCAGCCCCGGCAGACAGCTGAGCTTAAACCGGACCGTGCCTCTTCCCAGTGCCGCTTCCTTTGCCTTCCCCCCCTCGCAGGCGGGCTGCCCACAGCAGCCGCACAGCCCCGTGTGCTGTTTGTCACGTCCTGCCTCTGCTGAGCTGCCCAGGCAGGCAGCAGGGCAGCAGCAGGGGAGGGCTGCAGCCCCTGCCCCAGTGGGAGCGCAGCCAAGGAGTGTGCTGGCTGCTGGGGCTTCTGCAGGGCTGTGGGCTGCCCGTAAGCACAGTCATAGGTCGCTTCCTGTGCCTTTGCAACTTCTCACTGTACAGATGGGTCTGCCTGCTTGGGGCCAGCCCAGGATGTTTTTCTGTAAGACTCTCTCAATCCCGTGTAGAGAACTTACTGGAGGAGGCAGCTGGATCAGCCTGGAGAAGAGAAAGCTCTGGGGAAGTTTCATTGTTGCCTTCCATTATTTGAAAGGAGCATCTAAACAGGGGGGAAAGGGCTGTTTATGAGGGTGGATGGTGATAGGACAAGGGGGAATGGTTTTAAAGTGAGACAGGGGAGGTTTAGGTTGGATATGAGGAGCAAGTTTCTCACCCAGAGGGTGGTGAGGCACTGGCACAGGTTGCCCAAGGAGGCTGTGGATGCCCCACCTGTGGAGGTTTTCAAGGCCAGGCTGGACGTGGCTCTGGGCAGCCTGGGCTGCTGGTTGGTGACCCTG